CAAATATTTAAGTTTCCTAGAAAACCAAGTGTATCCTCTAATTGGAACTACACATAACGAACTGTTAGTAAACCTTAGTTTTTAGACAAAATAAATTGTAAAGGCCTGCTGTATACGTTAAATTTTAAATCTTCTAGGTGCAGTGATACATTTTACTTGACCACCCCTCTTACCAACATCCATTGTATGTCATGTGTAGTAATTGCAACAGTATTAACTCTATGTTGAACATATTTCACAGTAGAATTTTAGCAATAAAACATTTGCTTTTGTGACTATTTTATCCTTTGAAATAGTCTGTTTTTTCATTCTTAAATTTTTATTCTTTTGTTTTGTCATTTTTTACATCGTATCTTTGAGATATTTGTTTTATCATATTTTGCCTGTTCTATAATTGAGAATTTCCAGTTTGTAAAAATGAAACTAACAAATAAATAAATACTTGAGAGTCATACAAATATTTTGAAAACAGTTAAACTAATTTTCTACTTTTGGTTCCGATTTTACGCCAATTTTAAAAAACAGGTCACTTTTCGCCAGGTTGCAATTTTTATTTTTGCATATCAACCCTATCGCCAACAAAAAAAAAATGTTTTCAATACCATCTTAGATTTAGAAAAAACAAATATATGATATATCCATTATTTCGTTAAAAAAAATATATTCGTTCACGTGGCCTTAACAACTACACCAGAAGTAGCAAAACTGGATGACAGAAAATGCCCGCAAAGGAATCGTTTTATTGTTATAGATGTTGAGAAACATATTATTTAATTGCCAGCAAAAAACAAAAAAAAACATTAATTTGAATTTATCAGTGTATTCGACAGCTACAACCACCGGGATATAGTACATGTTATTCACCACCTTTTGATGTACCCATGGAATGTAGAGGTAAGGAGAACTATCTCTGTATACAGAAAGTATCCCTTAAATTGTATAAAATTAAAATAGCGTTTCTGTACCAAGGGAAGTCGACAGTCGATAATTTAGATCACACAATGACACTAATGATGTATATAGTTATATGTTCTGCTTACCCATAGGTATGGAGTGTAGAGGTAAGGGTATATATGCTCGAAGGGTATAGCCTAAAAACTACATCATTGAGCTTATAATTGTATAGAAATTTTGTTAATAGACGACAATAGTGCTTTTCGTCGTCTGATTTACATATAAGTGAGCTATCTATGCAACTTTATATCGTTGGATCTTTTTCTTCTAGTACACCAGCAACATCTTAATTATCTACATTTTGGGGAACACTTTTTGAGATAAACAACCGTGTAAGATTGTCCTCCTTTCCCCAACACTTTATAGATGTACCTAACTACAAATTAGAAACACGTCATGCTACTTTATGCAGTAAACAAACTATCTGTTTCAAATTTCGCCCATTAAAATGAATTAGAAGCTTCTTCTCCGCACAGTACGTTACTGTCACGTAAATAACATAAAAATAATAATTCAATTTTAATAATTTTATTGTTTTCGTACGTGTTAATATCTATTTCTGGTAACGCCACTGCGTTCTGGCTAATCGCGTTTCTATGGCGCTCTTTTTAAAGTAAGCCCGAAGGAGTAAGAAGCGTTCTTGTAAATCTCTAGTCACAAAGAGATGTCGCACGTTAACAGATCCCTGCAACGTAGTAAAACAATCATAAAATCACTTAAATCAGCTTAATTTTCGCAATGCACACAGTGACGGTACAAATTAGGGCTTGGCATACGAACTTTACAATCATTGATACGAAATAAAGAGAAAATGCTAGGACGATACTAAAAGTGTCCGCACAGTTTTACGTCATATGTCATAGTCGAGTAAGTGAAGTTAGTCAGTTTTAGTAAGAATAGATACCATCTTTTTTTAAATAGCATGACTTAAATGATATAAAAATATTTTCATTCAGTCAAACTTCAAATATAAAATTATTAACGTCAAATTATTTAAAAAGCGACTTAAAGTGCGTTTACTTCCCAGATAGCACTCGACATTCGTTGGACGTCCATATTTTGTCCAAATAATGTCCTGGATGTCCATGAACTTCATATGGATATTCATTGGACATTCGTTTTCCGTTATCCAATAGATATATCCATTCAGAAGTCCAATGGATGTCCAAAAAATGTCCATGATGGACACTATAAAAATGACTAACTTAAAATAAATTATTATAATTCTTCTTGTATATAGTGTTGCCACATCAATTAATTTTTTCGTAATAGAATTTTAAACCAAAAGGTAATAAAATCATAATAGATAATATTTGAATGTAACATAAATGTACCAGAACTGTTATTAAATACATTTAACAATAAAACTTTTAGTTGAGAGGAAATTCTTTCTGCTGTTGCAAATGAATGGGGTAACGATAATAAACCGCAAATTAATTTTTTTAAATTAGGAAACAGTAAAGTTTTTATTTCAAAGATGTTAGCCCAAAATTCACTAGAGGTGAATTTTAGTAATTTATTTTTTTTTAAGTCTAGAAGGGGTCTACGTTATTAAAAACAAGATATAAATTTTGCTGAAATGCTGGAGGCTGTTGGTAATCTCCTACTAAACTATAAAACCTGGCCCTATCTTGGATTTGTTTAAACAAGAAAACGGACATAACAAATGTATAGATTTCTGAAAAATTTTTAATCATGCGCTCTGACGTTTAGATAGAACCACTCATAAAATTTCGATATTTTAAAAAGTAAAAGATTTTTCCTTTTTTCTAAAAAATCGTAATAACGTACTGGTGTATCTTTTTAGTAATAGATTTGTTACAATTGTAATAGCAACGGCAACACTGCTTGTATAATTTAATTATTTAATACTATGTTTTAATTAAAATAAATCAAATAATTTTTCTCTTCTCTCACCTCTGTTGACAAGATTGAAAAGTAAAAGGCCACTCAGGCCAGACTCGAAGAAGAAAAGAAGAATGAGGTTAGGATTGATAAGAAAAATTAACCTATATGTAGCAAATAGATGTTTATCTGGTAAGAAAGTAAGTATATTTATTAATTAAATCATTTAAAAATCTAAAAATTAAAAAGCAAATCGTTTGTTTTAAACTAATATAACCTATCAATTATATTTTAAACTTTATTTTTTCGATTTACATTCAAAGAATACCTTTCTTTTAGAACTTTTGTCAAATGATTTACCTACCTATTTAAGAAAATGGCTTTACTAAAATAACTTATATGCTGCAAATTCGAGATGATGTCAACACAATTATTATTGTAACTAAGAGGTGAAAAAACTTTCAAAGGAGAAGAAAAAAATTCAAGTTTCTATTTGTATGACATGAGACATTAGCAGAAGAGGCTATTTAGAAGATACAAATATTTTTAAAGAAGCTGTAAGTTTTACTTTTATTAAAATAGAATCGTTTTGTAACGTTTAAGAATTAATGCATTGAAAGTGGTTTCATAAGTTATTTCTCTTTAATGTTCACAAATATATATTTTTATTGCAATTTTAGATTCAACAGTTACCAAAACCAGGGACACGGACATGACGAACTTATAAAAAGATGTTTTGTTTCCATAATTTCTAATATTCTCACAAAAGAATTCGCATAATATGATGGTATGAAAGTAAAATGGTAATTTAAGAAATAATGAGCAGTTTTTTGTTAATATGTAAGTATAGAGTTAAAGTACATTAGTGAATGCATATTTTTATATTAGTTAATAACATTTTATCTAAAAGTTTTACATTTGTAACTATCAGTTTTTCCTGATCAGGCGTGTATTAAACGATTGATTTAAGACTCAATATTTGTATAAAATGTAATGTCTTTTTTTAGCTGCTGCTGAGAGTGACAATGGTGCTGCTTAAAAAGTAAGCGAAATAGCCTTAAGAAAATGACAGAGAAGGTCAATAGAAAGGAGTGCGTATAAAACTAATATATGCTTGATATTATTTATGACAATAAAAATAAGTCCATAGTTTGCAATTATTTTATTTCATATTAATATAGGTGGTGATGTCCGTCAGATGTCCATAAATTGTCCAAAAGCAATACAAAAAGAGTCCATATATGGACCTTTCATGGAGTCCAAATGGATGTCCATGAGTGGGACATTTGTATAGTCCAGTGGATGTCCATTGGATGTCCTTTGGTAAAATGCTGGACGTCCTTTGGACAGCCGATATGTCTATGAATGGACTTCCGATGGACATTCAGTGGATTGAGTTGTGCTGTCTGGGTTGTTATATCGCAAAATAGTGTTTATTTTCTCTCTACATTATTTTATCTCGATGTTTCCAATTAACCTGTCAAACTCTAAAATTCACCATAAGTCAATTTAAATTGTATTTATTTAAAAACCGTGTTTAAATTAAACTGCGAATTTAAAAAATCGGAAGTATGTGTGGCAATTCAATGATTGTTAACGAAACAAGTCACCAAGATCCAAGTAAAACATTTACTAATATTTTGAGGTTATGTTTGTATTTTGTTCTGTTCCAGTTTCTACAAAATAGTCATGTGTTTTAAACCCAACTCTAAAACACAAACTTGCGTACATAAATTAAATGTCATCGGTACTCTTTTATAGAAAAACCATCAAAATTAAAAAGTAACTCCTGCCGCTGATTAGTAGTTGTTAATTGCCGGTGGAATAACGTTTCGTAAAGCTTTTCCTTTTAAGGGGCTTCTTTATATTTTTAAATTAATCGCGCCTCTGAAATCTTAACGCATTTCCAATTGAGGGGCGCCCTATCTTTTGAAAATCGGCTGCTCAAGAGGTTAAACTTTTTGCATCAGTTCACAAATTTTACATTTCTTTAATCAACTTCTCTAGACAAGGTGTCATATAGATCTAAAAAATTAAAATATAGATAAGATTAACCAAATTATAATATTTCATTATTTTTTTATTAAAGATATAACGGTTATTTTATCTTTTTTTTTTAGATTGCTTCGTATTTTTTTTTAAATACTAATTAATTATTAAAAAGCCTTGTTTTCAATTGGCATTGTCTATTAGCCGTAAAAATGTGGTGTTGCTTGTATTTCGCAATAATTTTTTTCCCAGTTGCTTTGGGGTAAGTTAAAATATTGACGGTAAACTATTTTTTTAAGCAAATTGGGGGTACATGGAGGAGCTACTACAAACGTATGGGTTCAAAATATGTTTATTTAAGCAAATTTACTTGTAATACCGACTTCCTTTGTTTGGCCTAGAGGTCATTGAAGTGAAATAAAATTATCTGTTTTTTTTTCCTTATTTTCCATAAGGTATTTTATTGCTAATTAAAAACAACTGGAATAAATTTTCCATTGCGATCGTAAGCATCTAATTAGGTTAAGGGGAATGGAAATTATTACTATTTTTTTATCTATCACTTTTTGGCATCTCTGGCATCAAAATGGGAAACTGTAGAATTTTAACTGAAAAAAAGTTATTCTGTTCGTTGTCGCCATAATGTACTCTTTTCAAAAAAATTGGATTTGACCTCTTTATATCACCATACTAAACATTTGTACTAAGTACTATAAAAGATGGTATTAATCAAATAATGATAGGTTTGGTGTCTCCAACACCAAAGATTCCTACAAATAACGTTCTGTATGCAGAATATAAAATTATTACTTTTATTATTTCATTGATACCATCATTGTTACAAAACTTTTAAGAGCGAACTGGTAATGTGTTTCAAAATAGAACAAAATACAATTCAAGTAAAACGTACAGTGACATAATTCACTAAAAAAGGTATAGAAAATTTTGGAAAAAAAAACTTTTTAGAAAACTAGAATCACTGACCTTGTGGACCAATTATAACTTAAAACTGTTGTAAACGTTTCGCCTTTATAAATTGTTTTTTTTTTAGGTGGGTAATTAGATTGGTAAACACCATATTTTATATAAAACAAATTTGAATTTTCTCATTTCAATGTCATAAGGTCATCCTACTCAATAAGTACTCCTACTTTGTAATCAATTGAAATTCTCAGATAACAGCAACGATTTGTTAATTTATTTTAATTAAAAAAAAAAACTCCATATCTAGCAATTCATTGTCCTTTTATCTATTATTATAAGTATTTTTTTTTATTATTTTTAAAATTCAAGTTTTAAATTAAAATGAACCTTCTATTATTTTTTTTTTTTTAATTATAGCAAAACATGGTTTTGGTACCACTGATCAGGATTGGGGTTTTGTGACCGTTAGGGAAAAAGCTCACATGTTTTGGTGGCTCCATTATACAACAGCGAAGGTTGAAAAATATACGGATAAACCTCTGATTATCTGGTTGCAAGGTGGACCAGGATCGTCTTCCACTGGATACGGAAATTTTGCTGAACTGGGACCATTGGATTTGAGTTTAGAACCCAGGGTTCTTGGTTTTTCGAGGTCCGTAGCAGAATTGAGTTTTAAACAAATCGCATATACTGCACATGTCCTTACGTGGGTAGCCAAATAAAAAATTAAAATCGTTTTCTAAAATGCCACGAAATGATTCATAGAAGAGTTTATGTTTCAGATTGTAAAATAAATACATTAATAGATTTCAAAGATAAATTGTTTAAAGATGATTTTTTTGTAATTAATACCACAAGATGGTTTTCATGGATCTCATTTCAGAGATAATTTTGTAAAATATACTACCACATGTTGTTAGTCAATCTCTTTATTTCTCGTTTGCATTTACATTTATATTATCACAGAATAAACAATACACAATAACAATTAATAATATTTAATTATTTAAATGTACATTAGAAAAATATTTTTTATTCCAATTTCAGTCTCTCTAGTTCAATGTTTTGAAAATAATTTTGAAATAAGTCAGCATTTTTTATTATTATAATTTACACATCGAACTAGATACGAAATTGGAACGTGTTTATTATTAATTGCATATGAAATGTAACATTTTAATTCAATAAATAATTAATTTTATATACAGGATGTTAACTTAATTGGTGAATATAAAGAAAAATGTTCAAATCTGAACATACTGACGACTCTCATCTTAACTCACGAGGATTTTTCGTTCCTGACTGACGCAAGTCTCTGGAGTTCGATCTCTGCGTGATTCGGCGATGCTGTTGGACCAGGGCAGAGATGGTAGTAGATCTTTTTCTATAGGACCCATTAAACTATTAGTGTAGGTAACACAATAGCGGCTGTAAGGAATTCGATATATA